ACAAATTGGTATCTATTTCTCACTAAGAAGTTTACTTTCTTGAAGCAAATAAAAGCACATGGTCACAAAATAATAATAAAATGAATCCTTTATAAATTGCCTATTATTGATACTTTAGTCTAGAAATGTGCTAACAGTTTCTAGTAAGTTGCACGTACCTTATGCAAAGAAGCAAATTGCAAAGCTTGAATTGTTTTAACAAAACATGCTGCAAATCAAGCCAAAAAAAAAATTCTCCATTGACATTTTTCGCAAAGAATCTAATGAGCTATGCATTTTTAATCAACTACCTGTTTGCCTTTATGTCCATTCATATTTTTTGCACAATTTAAAAACAATAGAACAGAATATCTTGTTAACAATAATTCAGTTTGCCTTGACCAAAGTAACTGTTCATCATGCGCATCAGCCAAAACTTTTAAGTTCTGTTGCATGCTGAGAGTTTGGAATTTTATTAAGCATGCGATATATATTTTTAAAAAAATCCTTAATACTAATTTTCTTTGTAACAAAAAAGCAGATTTTTTTTGAAAAGCAACAGTTATAAAGTTGTTGATTCCTTTCGTAAAACTAGTTTTAACTTTGTCATCTTCCCTGTGAAGACCTCACCTATGTGGTCATTATTCCTGGTTGAGCCTTGGCATAGTGTATTAAATAGATCAAATTACATATGCGGTAGACAACTGTAATAGATGCATAACTTTATGACATAACTGAAAAAAACTGTTAATGTGTTTTTATATGCTGTTAATAATATGTATCGGTTTCTCTTGAAAATAAAAGCTGCAATCATGTTGTCTACAACTACTTCTGCCCTTAAAGAACATTTAGTCAAGTGGGTTTTATTTTTGGGAAGGGCAAATCTGTTCAAGGTAACAGAATTGCCCCAGCACAGTTGGTGGCTATTTGGCCTATCATGTCTGCACTGGTTCTCCAAATGAACAATTTCTCTGGTGTCTTTGTCCCACCTTTCCCGCAACCTAGAATATTCTTCCTTTTCAGATTACAGTCCAATTCCCTTTCAGACACCACTCGTTCCGTGAAACTTTTTTTATTCCCTATACAACTTCTGTTTCTTTCGTCAATTATTTTAAATTTGTGCCCTCTTGTTCTTGATCTATAAGTGGGAAGTTTCTACCTATCTACTCTGTCCAGATCCCTCATGATTTCGAATACGTCCATCAAGTATTCTTTCAGCATTCCTTTCTTTGAGGAAAACAGTTCCAGCTTCTCCAATCTAAGATGAGGTATAGTAATTGTCAATGCAGCTAGATTGTCAGATGAGTTTCCTGTGGAATGTTGTACAAGATGTTATAGTGAGTTTTCTTTATATTCACTCATGGGACGTGGGCATCACTGGCTGGGCCAGCATTTATTACCTGTCTATAGTTGCCCTTGAGAAAGTGATGGTGAGCTGCCTTCTCTAATTGCTGTAGGTAGATACACAAGGCCATTAGAAAGAGTTCCAGGATTTTGATCCTGCAACACTGAAGGAATGATGATATATTTCCAAGTCAGGATGGTGAGTGGCTTGGAGGGGAATTTACAGGTGGTGGTGTTCCCATTATCTGCTGCCTTTGTCCTTCTAGGTGACAGTGGTTAAGAGTTTGAAAGGTGCTGTCTAAGGAGCATTGATGAATTTATACCTTGAATCTTGTAGATTGTACACAGTGCTGCTACTGAGCGTTGGTGGTGGAGGGGGTGGATGCAGTGCCAAGCTCCTTGTATTGTTGGAGCTACATTCATCTGTGCATGTGGGGAGTATTCCATCATACTCTTGACTTGTGCCTTGTAGATTGTGAACAGGTTTTGGGTAGTGAGGAGATGAGTTATTTGCAGCAGTATTCCAAGCCTCTGACCTGCTCTTGTAGACACTGTATTTCTACAGCTAGCCCAGTTGCGTTTCTGGTCAATGGTAACCTTCAGGATGATGATGGTGGGAATTCAATGATGGCAGCGCCATTGTTAGAGTGCAAATAGTAGAAAAAAAAGCTAATTTCATATTACTGCTGAACTCTTGCGGACAGTACTCCCTAACCTGGTTGTGCAAGTTACTTGCGAGTCTTTCCTGTTTTCAACGACCATGTTACTCCATTCCTTCAATGAAACTCTTTATTAAAAACAAGTTTAAAGCATAAGGCTTGGGATTTTTTGCGGAATGTTTGAAACTTCCTTGACAATGTTGGGTGGGTAAAGTGGTACTTCTGACTGCTGGAATGAACAAATGAACCAGGTCTCACTTAATATTAAATTAGTGTAATTTAAATACCTGCAGTATATTTGAGTGTTTTCTGAGAGTTAGTTTCTAAATTGAGTTTTGAAATGAGTATTTTTGAAAAAGTTTTCTCAGGGAATTTGATATAATTAACTGGCCAATTCATTTAATAGGATATTACTTCCAGTAATACTTTCAACATCAGTCTTTTAGTTCTTCCATTTTTCTAGTGGCCTTGCACAAATGACCTTGGTTTTAATAAAGCTTGCTGTATAATTGTAAGGTAAGGAAACAATAAGCTCTGCTTTGGTATGTCCCACTGCAGTGTACCAGCATTGCTGGAATTCAACAGATTAAACAAAATCAAGTTAATTTGTGGTTAGCTGCATGGGACTAAGGAATTTGGTACAAGTTTATTACAAGCAGTCTCATAATAATGAAGCAAACTTTAAAAAGTTTTATTTTGGGAAGTTCTTATTTGCCATTGCAGTTTTCAAAATGAGCTTAAGTATGTGTTTATAATGTAATAATCAATATTAGTAAAGTAATTTAAATAATGCGGAAGTGTAGTATTTAATTGTTTTCCTAAATAAGGTACAAACTTATCTATTAAATGTTGCACAAATTTTACCAATAAAGCACAATAAATCTTGTTAATTTCTATTAAACTGCAATTTGCAAACAGAGCTATTTAATAACAGTAGAAAATAAATAATTTCTGTCTCAAACTCATATGTGATAACTAGCTGTTGATAACCACATTAAACCCTGACACTAAGATGAATATTGGCCCCAGTTAAAAGCTGAATTATCTTGTGATGTATACCTAATTTAGGTATTCTTTTGGCACCTCATGGACTAGCTTTATCAAAGTGCTGGAGAAGGTGTAAGTTTACTCAGCTGAATATGCTAATATTCCTGTGCAAGTACATACATTCCAATCTCTAAGGTGAACAAAAGTTGTCCACCAACTGCAGCCCAATAAAACTGACAGGTCACAAATTGTCTAATTTCAGTATACGAAAGGACAGTTAGCAATATAGAAGTTACGTGAATATGCACAATTGCTAAAGTCATGTGGATTATTTTGTATTGGAGGTGTTACTTTGACACCCAACTCACCCCACTCAAAACAGGTACACCCCAGAATATTTTGAATTTTGACAAGGGGCTGATTTTTCAAAACATTTTCACCAAGGGAAACAGCATACTGTTTGGGAGCAACAATCTGGAACAAGATGTGTAGACCCATTACAGTAGGTAAGGAGATCAGAGGTGATGCTCTCAGCCTTCTTACCAAGATTTACACTAGTTTGTTAAATAGCTGGTGGTGACGTTGAACTTGGACTACTCTCAAACCAGGTGTCACTTTCAACGGTGTTTGCCATGAAATTGTGCTAGCGAACATGGGGAGGCGATTGCCTTGTGGTATTATTGCTGGACAGTTAATCAAGGTAATGTTTTGGGGACCCAGAGAGGAATCCCGCCACAGCACATGATGGAATTTGAATTCAGTTAAATATCTGAATTAATCTAATGATGACCACAAATCCATTGCAGACCCACAGCATTGTGGTTGAGTCTCAACTGCCCAATAGGCAATAAATGCTGGCATAGTGACCCTGTCATCATGAATGAATTAAAAAGAAAGATTCTAAACTGGTTGCAACTAGGCTATGTTAATAGCTTAGTTCACGAATTGTTGGCATCCCTTCGTCAGTATGGGCAAGTACTGAAACCCACAAAACAATCTCTTAATTTGATGAATTTGCTAGCATTTCAGTGTTACTATGGTTCTGAATGTGAATCTCTGTATACTTTTCCAGTTAAGTAAAATGCATTATCAGTCCAACCCTGTTTTTCAGATCTTGACATTGAGAAGTATAGTGACAAGAATAATCAAGTAAAACCAGAAAATATTTTGGAAACAGGGCATATTACTTTGTCCCATGGAAGCATATGCAGCCCAGATTGAAGAAAATAAACCGTTACATATATGTCAACAGCTAGCCTTCACAGCCTAAATCTACTTTAAGTAGAATAAAATGTATTTAGAAACTGCATTTCCCTGGTTAAATGTAACTTCTTCAAAGTTGTCAACATTTGTCACTAGTAACTGGACATAACCGATTATCATTTTTTTTAGCTCCAAGCTTGATGCAAGTTAAAGAAAAAATGCCTAATTGATTCTAGTGCTACCAAATCGATGACAAATTACATCTTAAAAAGCATTTTTGATATATTGCCATGTTCCATCTGCTCTGATACTTCAGTCCTGCTCTCCAAGCAATCTGATTTGATGTTAAGGACCTACATTGCTAGTGGGAAAATATATTTTTCTTATGAACCACTGATTCATGCATAAACCTTTGGGTTTGGGGAGAGGCAGTTCATGTTTTTGCATTTTTTTTGTTATATCTGAGAAATGAGCTTCAACGTTTTCTTTGGAGTAGTCTGCTCTCTAATTCTTAAATTTGCATTTTATTTCAGATTGTGAAATTAACTTTCACATCGTTTAATCCTATTGATGACCACAGTGACATTTCTGCTGTAAAATTTTAAAACCGTATTTAATTTCTCTTTTGTATATTTAAAGACCCCCTTAGGGCAGCTAGTAATTTTCACTTAATTCTGTAATTATTTTCAGACATATAATTGCATGTGAATGATTTAGCAGAGAGATGAAAGGAACATCTCAAAAGCTATGCATTGAGAAATCCATCAGTCCATAATTCTGTAGGAAACTGCACTACTAACTGTTAAATTTCCCATTTATGAAGTCAGAAATTGTCTAGTGCTCAGGGCTTGAAGCTTTGAGGGCGAATCTTCATTTCAACTTGTTTCAGTGAGTAATTTGAACCACGCCAGCCGTACCATGTGATGCCATCAGAGTTTTGAGTGTGCTGTCCTTGACGATAGTAAACTCCATTCAGATTGGAATCTGTGCAGCAGTTGTACCAGTAACCACCTGCAGGAGACAGGATAATAGGCCATTGTATAAATTGTGGTATTATTTCTTATAGTTAAAAATTAGGGAGGCAGCGGAGAAGGTGATAGATGGTAACATATTTTTCAAAATCAGAAGAGCCAGGTAGTCACAGTGGTCTTTCCAGGGCAGTCAAAATTTTTCTTTGCAATGTATTCATGGAATTCACTAATATTTAGTAGATTATAGATTATAGATCATAGACCATAGAATCCTTGCAGTGTGGAAACAGGTCCTTCGGCCCCACACGTCCACACTGACCCCCAGAGCATCCCACCTGGACCCATTCCCTTAATCTACACATCCCTGAACACTACGGGCAATTTAGCATGGCCAGTCCACCTAACCTGCACATCTTTGGACTGTGGGAGGAAACTGGCGCACCCGGAGGAAACCCACGCAGACACAGAGAGAATGTGCAAACTCCACACAGACAGTTGCCCGAGACTGGAATTGAACCCGGGTCCCTGGCGCTGTGAAACAGCAGTGCTAACCACTGTGCCGTCGTGCCACCCCAATTATGCAATATATTTTCACATTTCTTAGCAAGCATTACTGTTAAAGGGTTTTTCTATTTTTGATCAGATATGCCCAGTGTAATGAATTATTATTTTGTGGAAGGTTATTGTTTTCCTTCTGTAACTTAATTTTAATATAGCATTGTATAAATGGACACTAACTGAAAATTCTATGATCCATCAAGAGCGCAACAAAATCTTATTTTCTTTATGTTTACTTATTGGCTCTTACCTTTGCGGAAATATGCACAGTTGTCCACACACTTGTCATTGTCTTTGTCCTTTGTACTGAAGGCAGTATTGTTATGGTATCTGAGTGAGTCCCGTTTGGCTGTCCCATTGTAATTTCCAATTATTAATTTGTAGCTGTTCAATTCATCGCTTATTGAAAAGTAGTCGTATTCTGCATAACAAGTATGTCCTTCCCAGTCCTATTGTTACATAAGTCAAGTAATTAAACAGTTCACTTACATTGATACAAATTGTTACCAGCACATTGTAAATATTTAATGAATGTATTAATTCACATTTAGTTTATATTTCACTTTTTAAGGTGCAAATTTAAATGTTACATGACTTACTGTGTCCAATTCTGTTCGTTAAATATTTCAGCTGAAATAGAAATCATTATTTTGGAAAAATGAATAAGTAGAAATTCTAATGGGTTACCTCCATATCAATTCTGAGTATGCTTGGCTGCCTAGTTAACCGAAAAATGTGATCATTGCCCAGCCAGAAGTCCCCACGGATGTTGCCAAAGCCTCGCTTGTACTGTTTCCAGTCACGGTGGAAAGAGCTTAGTCCAACTTTTCGACGTTGTATAACAGTCCAGCCGCCACCTCCAGTTTCCATGTCACAGTATACCTGTAATAGTCCAAATAAATATTCAACACATCATAAAGAGTAATCTTGAAAACTGATGCTATTAACTAGACTTTCACTCTCTGGTAATAAGATTCAAAGCGTCATTTACTCATCTAAGTTTGGGCCCATAACCTATTGCCTCATCATTTGGATTTCCTGTTTGGTAAGCCCAATTGAAAGCATTATGTAAAAGATCTCAATGAACAAATTTGAAATGCTGGAAATTAGAAATAAAAATTAGGACAATTTACTGTAAAAATAAAATCAAAGTAACTTGTAAAAACAAAATGAGATGGTAATGTTTCAAATGTAATCCTAAATTAATTAATTGATTTAAGGTGGGAGAATGTGGGCACCGATTATGATTATTCTGTTTGCAAATGCTAGCAGACCGTATATTTCCAGTTCATTGTATTCTACTTCTATTAAATTATATTCTTTTCACGGATTCCTGCTACTGGATTAATCAAATTTTTAAAGAAAATAGTTGCTGCTTTCTTCCTGTTATGGAACTTTGCATCTTTTCAGTCTGATTTCATTGTCCGTGGCAAAAAGCAAATGAATGAAAATTTCCTGATTGACAGTGAGCTCATAAATTAAAATGGATTTGAATAATTGAAGCAAGCTTTAGTTTAACTTGGATAAAGATATCTGAAAATGCATTAAGTATTAATTATTAAAAGAACAGAAGTGTTGTTGCTCATCTGCAGTAATGTTTTGATTTAAAATTCTTAGTCTGGAGCACTCACAGGACATATCCCCTCTTTCAACAATAAAATCCATAAAATGTATAGGTCAAATTTACAATGTTTATAATGATCAGTAAAATGAAGAGACAATATATTTAGTGTTCATGGACAATTCTCATACCAGAGTATAATCTTCACAAATGTTTGTGTATTGCAATCCATCAATTTAAATATTTTGTGACAGTGAAGCATGTGCAAAAGATGACAAAAGTAAAGGATGTTTATTTCAAGCAGTATAACCTCAAATTCTGGAGTTCCTAGGAATTCGTCGGCAGGCAGCTTGTATACTCCAGATATTCGATAATTCTTCTGGTAGAGTGATGTGCAGTCATACATGGCATCTATGAACAAGAGATTAACGACTGCATTACTATTCGAGTTCCCATGTTTTAAGTCAAACTGTTATTGTTACTGCGTATATTTGAGCAAAAATAAAGAGTGGCCTTCTTTCTAATAATATCTTTATAAAACATTTTCCATAATGAGAGGTACAAATGGAACTGTGATTGAAATCTGTGCTGATATTCAGTACTCACTTGACCAGGAAAATTCCATTTATTCTCTTAATCACTGTCAATGAAACGACACTAAATAGTTACAAAATCCATTACAGTAAGAAAGCACTGAAATTAGTTGAGATTTTTTTTAATCTTTCAAATATTAGCTGTGGAAATATTAGCAAATGCAGCATATGTACAGGTCACTTTGAAATATTCTGTATGTTATTCCTATGTAAATTTTGTACGCATTACATTGGCATTATTTTCCTGTGGGTACAGACTTGTGTTTTGCTATAACCATCTGAATTAAACTGCTCATTTCATCCTAATTTAACTTTGTTTTCAGTCAATTTTGTTTCAAATGTCGTCTTCTTCTCCTTTTGTCAGAATGTATAGAATCATAGAATCCCTACAGTGTGGAAACAGGCCCTTCGGCCCAACAAGTCCAGGTGTATAGACATCATAAATGAATTACTACATTTTACTCTGTATCTCATAGCTCCTGAACCCTTCCTCACAAGGTACTTATCCAGTTCTCTCCTAAATGTGTTGATAATGGCAGCCTTCCAGTGGATCCAAGGACAATTTGGTCAGTACGTTAACTACTGTCTGGTTAAATTTTTTTTAAAATAAAGACTATGTATTCACCTGCCTCTTTGATATTCAGATCCACAAATTACGCTTCATTGACACACAGGAGAATACCCTGTGATTTGCTTTGCATGAATTTTCTGTATACTGCTGTCTAAGGCTAATTTGAGTGACTTGGTTTAAATACTGTTTTCGTCTTTCAAAACAAAACAAACCAGTGAGTGTACCTGACCCCTGTTGATAGAAATAACTCAGCCATGCAAATTTATAGCTTTTCTGTATTTTTACTAACTGGAACAAATTAATTATTTAATCTTTATGAGTTCAAAGGTTGGAACAGTCAAGACTCACTCCAATTATACGTTAGATACTGGCTGTTACATGTGAAGACAGTGCAAACCTAACTGAAGTCAGATGTATGCACTTCTAATTAAACCCATTTTAATTTATGGTGATGAATAGTTTTTGATGTAACTTAACTTGGAGACACATCCAGTTTTAAATTTAATTTTGTGAAGATTTTGAGAACTAAGTTTTCCAATACCCCCATCTGATTTTAAAAAAATCTAACATTAACTTCGAGAAAACTTAAATTTTCATTGCACTCTGACTGTCGAAAGTGATTTATCATGATTGGGTTAGGGTAGTGGTATGTTGGTTTGTATGTATTCTTCAGTTCAGCAATGCCAGTTGCTGTTCATTTGAACTGTTTCCAAAATATGGTTCAGTACGCAAAGTTGTGGCTTGTCAGATGTCCAGAGTAAAGGAAAATTGCAGGGCTGGGTTGTTCAGTGGAAGTTTAAATAAATATGAGCACACTTCATAGATTAGACACAGAAATAACAAAAAGGGAAAGTACATTATTTATAGAACTCTGGAGTCCTAAGAGAAGTTGAACATAGTGTCATTACGGCAGAGAACTGCTGGTGCTCCAGAAAGGGAAATATGCAGCCAGATAATTTTTGTCATTCGAATAACTGAAGCAGAACAATTTTGGTCTTTCAGATACTTGACACTTCTTTTACATTTACTTCCTATACTGAAGTGGCTGATTTGAACTTCGGTACCAAATGAGGTACTGCAGTTGGCATTAGGACTCTTGGACCAGGAAGGGCATACACCAACTTGGTTTCTTGCTTCCAATCACTTTGCTGTTGAAAAAGCTTCCCCATACATAGGTATTTTGGGAACATTATTTGATTGAATTGTTGAGGCTTCCCTAGCAACATGGCTGCCAACATTATTTTCTATGTGTCTTGCATAAAGTATGGATGTTTGAGCCAATACTTTAGTTCTACTTCGAGAAGATAGCAACATTAGAAGACAATTGAATTGTGCCCATGTATAAACTTTTGTGTACATGGCCGATGTTCTGTTGCCTGTTCTGTAAATGGAGTGTCTCGTGTATGAAAATGTGAAATAACTTCTGATTTGATGCTGATATATTACAATAAGATGTGTAAGTATTTTTGTTCTAGATTTTATGTAATCTTTCTAACTGTCTGAGGTTATCTTGGAAGTAACAATTTGGTTTGGTCATTTGTTTCCCAAAAATGAAACAACCTTTTCATTGTACGGTTATAGAATGTCATCGAATCATAGAATCTCTTCAATGCAGAAAGAGGCCATTTGTCCCATCGAGTCTGCACCAATCCTCCAGAAAGCATCCCACCCTATCCCAGTAACTCCACATTTTGCTATAGCTAATCAACTTAGCCTGCACATCCTAGGACACTACAGGGCAGTTTAGCACGGTCAGTCCACCTAACCTGCACATCCTTGGACTGTGGAAGGAAACCGAAGCACCTGGCGGAAACACACGCAGACACGGAGAACATGCAAACTCCACACAGACAGTCACCCAATGTTAGAATTGAACCTGGGTCCCTGGCGCTGTGAGGCAGTAGTGCATTGAAATATCATAAGTTGACTGAGCAGTTGGATATTTCTAGGATTATTACAAATTATAATCATTTTAGAGTCAAATGGTTTAACAACTGTTGCAGCAATTCGCTCAAACAATTTGATTGTATGTTAATGAAAATAGCCTCTGGATCTTGTGGATAGATGGGTCTTTCCACCTTACATAATATTTATATTTCCCTCAATGTGCTATCTGCATCAATAATAACTTTTATAATTGCACATTTTGCGATCCTTAATAATTATCTTGAAGTTATTTTTGTCTCTTGTTTTTCTCATCTTTCACTGAAGTCACACTCATCTGATTATTAATCCAGAGATGGTGAGCATCCTTCAATGACATAATCAAATGGCCATATTTCCTGAGCAAGTCTAAACAGTAAGGACACTTGTCAGGCTCTTCCAGTCATCAAACATATCACAAATGAGGCTGTACCTTTCTTCAGTAAAATGGTTTTTAACCACCTACGATAGAATTGTTTTGTAACTGTTGCAATTACGATTTGCAGAATTTAATATATAAGTGGTAATTTTGAACTGCACACAAAATTCAGAAATTTTGTCTTTTCACTTTTTCGGGTTCAGAAGCATGCTTCAGCCGTAGAACATATCTTTAGATCATTGCGGTGTAAATGTCTGTAATCTGTCAACTGTTGAGGTCTATTTTAGTGCTTCAATCAGATGGCACTATATTGGTTGAATGTCTTAGATGTTTAAAAAGAAACTTAATTCTGACTGAAACCTTTTCCAGTTATTTTAAACCTATTTAACAGCTCATTTATTTTGCAGAATAGGTCGACCACCAAACTCCCTCCCCAACTTCCCACCCACCCTCTCTCCCTCCTCTTACCCCCTCCAAAAAACTGCCAACATCTTTACTTTGAATTTTGTGAAATGGCAAACTGATTTTAAAATTTCACCGAGCTCTCCTCATTGTAATGTACTGTAATGTTGATAAATACTTCTATAAATATTAGAACACAAAAAGGCTAAAATGTTAGTTTATTTTCCATCCCTTCTGCTTAAGTTATTGCTGAGGGGTGCAGTTTGAAAATGACAGCAACAGAGCAATATTGTCATATTGAATAATATGTCATTTTTAAAACAAAATCCATTAAATGGCTAGGTAATTGACAGTAAAATACAATTGGTGTCAGATTGATCCAGTTAGTTTAAGATTAAATTTGATGTTGTTACCTCCAAAGTTAGTTTGCTAATATTTATAGAAATCCAACTTACATTTTACTAATGGTAAAGTGGCACAGGCAATAAAAATATAAGGGCCACTTTCTTTTCAAGGCAGAAAGTTTGTCTAGAGTGCCATTGGATATTTTGCATTCATCTGAATAGCTGCATGGAACCTTACTTTAATGTCTCACTCAAAAGATGACACCCTGACAGTTCTGGGTAATTGTTGCACTGTATAAATGTGTCACCGTAGCCTTGGAATTGGGTTTGGATCTGCAACTGAGACAAGAATGCTACTATTGATCCCTATTGATAGTTTTGTCCTTCTGCATTGCAGGCAGTACAGACAATTGGGTCTTCATCTATAGCAGAACTAAATAACGTAAACAACCTAGCAGCTTAAATGTGAAAATGTGGAACTGTGAATATTGTTGAGTTAATGATTCCAGTTTCAGTGGACTGAATGGATGGAGACCATTCCTGATTTCACAGAGCTCAATGTGTCAATAGAAGCTGAATCTCGGAGTTTAACGTAAAAGAGGGAGAGCAGTGTACTGGACCTATTTTCTCAATATTGGATCAGAAATTCAATAAATGTATAAATGATTCCAGAATCTTTCTGACTTCTTTAGGTGAGGTGAGAAGCGAGATCCTTTCAGGCATTGTTTCAGATAATGATTGAATAGTGAAAGTATGCCATTTGATCTGCTTCACTAGCTGGTGAGAATGCAAGATTACTGCGATTTCTTGTCTTCTTTGACTCAGTGTCTGATAGAATCATGTGAATCACAGGCTCAAGGTCTCTGAATGGAATGTGAGTGTTCTTTGTATGGACTCCAGCTACATATGCAAATATGAGTTTGCAACTGGACTGTTAAACATGCAATGTACAGGCAGGAGCTGTCAGGCATGGATTTCTGTTTTGAGATTGGAGATAGAAAGTCCTTTGGTAGTTTCACTAACTTGTCAAAGCTAAAAGCTTCAGGATAAGTTCTGCTTTGAGGAAATTTGAGCCATTGAATGGAAAAGTGGGGTTCCTGACCATTACAATACAATCGTGGTTCACAAGTTTGCAACATATACACTGTTGAATGCAGCCTGGGATCCCATCATGATCTTGTCACTCATGCCCTGCCCCTGCTTTTCAAGTGGTGGGGAGGAAACCAGGCTTGCCTTTGCCATTTTAAGTTTAGAATACACATAAATTCAGCCATTACATAAAATGCGATAGGAATGAATGATTTTTAAAAAAAATTAGTTTCATATGAGGAGAAAGTTTATCCCACAAAGTTCGACCTTACAGATAAAAAGAAAAAAAAACTAACTTGCCAGTATGCATCTCTGTTCTCACTATTGCAGTTGATTTGAAAAGTTTTGTAATTTTGAAGTAAAAATAAATGTGATTATTGCAGCATTTAAGTACATTATGTGATAACAGAATTTTTGAAATTTTTTAGACTGTTCAAATTTAGCATTGATATATTTTGTGCTAAAACAGAATGTAATTTGAACATGATAGCTCTTTGGGGCAAAATCAACTCAAACTGTAGTTACTTGAGTAACTCCATGTCATGTACTGGCAGCATTAAATATATCGACCTTCTATAAACGATGAATGAACAATTTAATTTTGTTTTATATACAAACCAATTAAAATTTAGTGTCTTGTCGATTACTTTAACAAGTCAGAAAAAAATATTGAAAGAACTGCTCTATTTTAGTGTAGGTTCTTGCAGAAAGAAAATATAGTGAAATGAAATCTGTTAATAAGTAAAATGGAAAACTAGTTAGTAGCCTTGTTCACAGATTTTGGAGAGTTTGATTTGGGGTGAGTGAGTTCAAAGGCACTTGTATTTTTTGGAGAAGAATTAATTGTGCTCTTTCAGTTCAAATATGATCCCTGATTTATTTTTTGTGATCCATTGTCCACATAATTGAAAGTTTTCCAAATGATATACGCGTTTGACTGGGATCTCGCTCAAGAAAATTGGGAAAACCCAGACTACATTATACAGCTGTGTTTTATTAAGTAGAAATTTGGCTTTCATTTGTCAAGCTTTGTCTGATAATGCTCCTGTAAAGTCTCTTGGAATATTTTACTGTGTTAAATGCGATTTACAAGTAGTTGTTGTTCATAGTTAATCAATGTGAGCTGTTTCTTCATAATACTGATATATAAATGTGAAGTATTATCTTTCTGATTAATTTCAACTATAGAGAAATAACAGTAACTATTTTCAAACTGAAGAGCTTTTAATATTTTTTCAATGGCTAAAGCACCTTTTTAGAAGTTAAATTTCAACTGCCTGTGATTATTAATTCCATATCCGACCTTATGACAAATACATTTAATAACATCTTCCTTCCCATCACTCACTCATCAGAATAATCTACTCTTACCTGTTGATGTCTGTGTAACTGTTTGGGCTGCTTGAAGCTGAATAATGTCTATCCGATTGTTGACTTCCGAGTATTTTCCTTCAGCTTCTGTAATGCGAGATTCCATCTGCCGATAGCCATTTTCCACTTCCATCATTTGCATGACTACATTTATCCAGTCAGTCTCCTGTTTCCTACTGAGCTCAGCCAGAATGCTAGTCAGGTTGGCCACCTGGATCTTCAGCTCTTTAAGATCATCACAGCAGGTCATGAGTTTCAGAATGTTGAGTCCTCCTGCAGCTCCCCTTCTCCGGGGTGCTTTCTGAACACGGCTATAACTTGGAGAAACGATGCAGAGGAGCAAAATGAATGAAAGAAGCCAAAACCAATTTTTGACCGTCATCTTTGGAAATTAATTAATATAAAAATCTTTTGTCCTTGAGTTTAAACACTTGCCACTTTGGATTACGTTTTCAAAAACATTAACAAAACTACTGATCTACTTTGTCCGAGTGTTTCAAAGTTTTTTTTTAGTAGTTCAGAATAATTAGAAGCTCTTTGAGAGAAATTCCTCTTGTGCACTTCATCCAGTAAAGATTGAAACTTGCTCGCTTTAAGTATTCCTGCTGTCCTTTTCTGAAAAATGTAGGCAGTCTTGGAAATAGCCCAGACACAGCATCTTAAATACCTAATGCGTTTTTAGTCTGTGCCCCTCCCATTCCCTGCGCATGTGGCATGCTCCTCCCAGTCCATCAATTAGCCTCAGGTGCTGACAGGAATGTGGGCTGGAGCTTTCTTTGGGAGAAGGATGCCTTTTGTTTGAGGTTTGGCGAGTAAAGGACTTCAGTCCTGTCAGCTTTTCTTGATATTATATTACCAGTGTTGCGGAGGAAGGTAGAAGCAAGTTTATTCTTTCCCCCCTCATTTCTTATAGATACATGCTGTGATGAGTTAAACTATTCAAAGCTATTAGTACAGTTGAGGAATAACTTCCAATGGTATACCACACGCAAATATTCACATTTATCTTGTGGGTTTCAATGAGTTTTTAAACATAAAATCTATTGTACAGCATGTTAGAAGAAATATGTTTTGAAAAGTAACAAAACAAAAAAAGTCAGCAGTTTGCCTTTTTGTGCAGACAGAGTGCTATAAGGTGATTACTTTAGACTGCTAAAATACTTAAGCAACATACTGTTTCACTTACTTGTGCAGCTGATATACATTTTATTGAGGTTAGCCACAACATCGGACTCATGTTGCAGATTTATCCTGCAGTCTTCATTTGTAATCAAAATTATGTTTTAAAAGTTGCCTGCATTTTTATTTTGTGATGTACTTCACATGTTTAACTGAAATTTAAGATAAACTGCTTTAAATAATATTGCAAACAGTAAATCAAAGCCAGCTCTTTCAGAATTTCAGATACATCTCCTCACATTTTCCCATATTACATCCCATCTCACAAGATTTTACCCTATCACTTAACCTGTCTTGATCTCTCCATAGACTCTTTGTCCCATTCTCACTACTTGCCTTCCCATCTATTTTTGTATCATCTGCAAACTTGGCTATGGTACATTCACTTCCTTCATCCATGTCAATATATATTGTAAATAATAGCAACTCCATCACTAATCCCTGTGTCTCTCCATAAGTTACAGGTTGCCATCCTAAAAATGAGGTTATGCTCTTTGGCAGGATGAATAGTAGAGATGATTATTATTTATATGGAGAAAGTCTGCAAAAAGCTGCAGCACAGATGGATTTTGGAATTCTCATGTATAAATCTCAATAAGCTACATCCAAGTTCAGCAGGTGATGGGGAGGAGAAATGGACTGTTGGCCTCTATTTCAAAGGGAATGGAGTATGAAAATATAGAAGTCTTGGAAAAACTATGCAAGACGTTAAGTTAGATCACAATGAGAATACTGAGAGCAGTTTTGGCCTACTTATCAAAGGAAAGACATACTGGCATTGGAGGTAGTCCAGAGTATGTTCACCAGGTTGATTCCAGGTATGGAGGGATTTTCTTATGAGGAGACATGAAGTAGTTTGGACCTGTACTGAATAGAATTTAGAAGGATGAGGGATGACCTTATGAAACATACAAGTTTCTTTGGAGGCTTGACAGGGTAAATGTGAGGTACAGTTTTGCCTTGTCAGATACTCTAGGACCAGAGGGCACAATCTCAGAGTAAGGGGTTGCCCGGTTAGGACAGAGATGAGGAAGGGTGGTGAATCTGTGGAATTCTTTACCACATCCGACTGTCTGGCTGGGTGTTAAGTATATTCAAGACAAAGATAAATTTTTCAATCAGTAAGGGAATCGAGAGTTATAGGGGTAAGGCAGGAAAGTGGAGTCGATGATTATCAGATCAGCCATGATCTCATTGAATGGTGAAACAGACTCAATGGACCAAATGGCCTGTTTATGCTCTTTATCTTAATGGTCAGTCCGCTGGTTACAAGTTGCCATCCTAAAATGCCCCCTTTATCCCAATTCTGTCTTTTAGTTAGCCAATACTCTATTCATGCTAGTGTTCAACCCGAGCACCATGACTTCTTATTTTATTAATTACCTTTGTGTGCGATATCTTATTGAATGCTGTTTGGAAGTTAACACCAAATTGTGGCAGTTTCTTTAGCGGCTGTTAACTATGACCGTTTAAAATCCTTTGACATATGTTAACTAGGAATAATAATTATAGCCATTTACCAGATATTAATTTTATGGAGCTTTATGACTGAACAGAACATTGTAATTCACAAATTGCCAGTGATCCTTTCATTTTCTCAGTGCCGATTAAATAAATGCCACAACCTGTCTCCTAAAATTTACTACTTTTCAATCACCAATGCCACTGCAAAATGTTCCTCTGTGAAAAGGTTTAGTACTGATTTTTAAAAATGTAAATGTTTAAAGTCCCTTGTCTCCCCATGCAGGTGGATTGTTCACAATTTCCACAAAAGAGACTGCATTAAAGCAACTTGCTCCCATGCATATCCACAGAACTTCATTTCACCAGCAGCTGGATGCAGAGTGCTTCACTTAATACTTTTGCAACCCACTTAATGAGTCTGGCCTCTGATGTAAATACCACAAAGTAATGAATATTTGTTTATTTAGAGCAATAACATATATTTAAAGTAATTCATTACTAGGTTGAAGAAATACAAAATACAGAATCTGCATTTACAGGAATACAAAATACCACTATAAAAGTCCAAATTACAATAGCTCTAATTCTTTTATTTCTGCAAGAATATGTGCATTGAAATCCAAACACGAGTTTTGACGGCTGAGACTATGAGCCATAATCACTCCAGAGTGGACATGGATTTGTTGGAAGTTCAATATTGTGACATTTTAATATCAACAGAATATTGACTGTGAAATGTTCAATTACCTTTCTTTACAGACTTGGGCACAGTTACCCACTGTGTCCTCCTCAGATTCCTCTCTTTGGTTTTCTCATTTTTTGGACCATCATCACTTAGTTCCACTCCTACTCATGAAACCATAGGTAAAAGATCCCAAAACAGTGCTTTGTTTCTACTTCTTGATTGTAACCTTTTCATTCTGTCCAGAATTTATCTTTGCCCTCATCACACATTTTCAACTGCATTCTAATCCTTAGTGACAATGTCCACAATCAGCTTCCAAATGCACAATGACACGAGTCTGTACTTTCCAGTTTCTTTTATAATTTTGCTTGTCCAACCTGCTTTCCTGCATGAGCTGCAATTTTCTCCAGTTTAACACTGGGGGAAAAACTGCTGCAATTCACTGTGCATTGGGTTGAAGACAGTGACTGTTGAAGGTGGTGAATGGGGTTCCAAAAATGGACTGCTTTGCACTAGATGGTGTCAAGCTCCTAGAATGTTGTAAGAACTTCACTCATCCATGCAAGGGGATGATATTCTATCACAATCCTGAATTATGCCTTGCAGATGGTGAACAGGCATTGGGGAGACAGGAGGCAAGTTACTCACTACTGAATTCTGAGCAGCTGACCTGTTCTTATATCCACAGCATTTATTTGGCTGGTCCAGTTCATTTTCTGGTCAGTGGCAATCCCCAGGATCGATGGTAATAGCACTGAACATCAGGAGGCAGTGGTTGGATTCTTGCTTGTTTGAGATGGTTGTTGTGTGGTCATGAAGTTACTTAACACTTATCAGCTTGAACAGAGACTTAGAAGATATCAGGAAGCTACCAGAATTTTGATCCAGGAGATTGTCTTTAAGAAGGGCCTTGCAAAAGGGAGGATTGAAATTAGGGGGAGATTGCAAAAATGTCAGGTCTAGATAGCTAAAAGCATGGCCATTCATTGGGCTGAAGAAAAGAGAGAAAATCAACAAGAGGCAGAACAAGAGTAGATTTGTAGGACGTTATAAATCGGAAATAGAAATAGGGGAAGTTAAGCTCTGAAGGACTCAAACCAACTTAAAACAAGTACCTTCTTGGACAGTACCACCCCCTACCGGACTCCTACTGCCCCCTTGATCATAACCCCATCCCCGATCACCAAAACATCATCTCCCAAACCATCCACAACCTCATCACTTCAGGTGACCTTCCACCCACAGCCTCCAACCTCATCGTTCCCCAACCCCGCATTGCCCGTTTCTATCTTCTTCCCAAAATCCACAAACCTGACTGCCCTGGTCGACCCATTGTCTCCGCCTGCTCCTGCCCCACCGAACTTATCTCTACTTATTTCGAATCCATTTTCTCCCCCTTGGTCCAGCAACTCCCCACCTACGTCCGTGACACCACCGCCCTCCACGTCCTCCAAAACTTCCAATTCCCTGGTCCCCAACACCGCATCTTTACCATGGACGTCCAGTCCCTATACACCTGTATTCCCCATGCAGATGGCCCGACCAGTCCCCCTCCACTGACACCCTCATCTGCTTAGCTGAACTCATCCTTGCCCTCAACAACTTCTCTTTCAATTCCTCCCAGTTCCTACAGACAAAGGGGGTGGCCTTGGGTACCCGCATGGCCCCAAGCTATGCCTGCCTCTTTGTAGATTACGTGGAACAATCCCTCTTCTGTAGCTACACTGGCCCTAAACCCCACCTCTTTCTCCGTTACATCGACGACTGTATCGGCGCCGCCTCGTGCTCCCACGAGGAGCTCGAACAGTTCATCCACTTCACCAACACCTTCCACCCCAACCTTAAGTTCATCTGGATCATCTCTGATACCTCTCTCTCCTTCCTGGACCTCTCTGTTTCATCTCTGGCAACCACCTGGAAGCCGATATCCATTTCAAGCCTACAGACTCCCACAGCTACCTAGAATACACCTCCTCCCACCCATCTTCCTTCAAAAATGCCATTCTCTATTCCTAATTCCTTCACCTCCGCCGCATCTGTTCCCAGGATGAGGC